CGCAGCGGCATTGTGGGTCCCTCGCTTCTCAGGCTTTCGCACCCGCGTGCTTAGTCACGATAAACTCCGTGATAAGATCGCGAGGAGCCATCCATCCGTGTGCCTCCACCCGTCGGAGTACGGCGGTGCCTACCTCTGCCCCGAAACGGGGAAGAGGGGGGTGTTTTGTAGGTCTAGCCCTCCCTTGCCTCATGCTATCCACGTTATGGAAGGTGCGTTGCAACACATTATTTGCTGGAGGAGGAAGTAAGACGTGGAAGCAGTGCGATAGCGTTCAGCAGTTTGGCCCTGTGAAGTGGGGCTCGTGTTTTCTGTGCACCGGAGACTTCCCTGAGAAGCCGTGCGTGTGTCACGTTGTTGGACTGTGCATCCCTGACTTGAGCTCTGAAGTGAGCCTGGCTAATGTAGCTGTAGTGAGCTTCTGTTATCGAGCACTGAGATAAAACTTGCTGCGTGTATGGAGCTTTGCGTTAGCGTCCTACCTAAAGTGACTTTTTTCACCTCTTGAGCTCATTAGATAATTCTTAAATTGTAATTAAAAACATTTTATGTGAAGTCCTGCATACCAGTATACAAGAGTTAAAATGTCATTTGCATTGATGGAAAAGATATGCTAAATTTCTTGGAATATTGACTTTATCTGACTCTTTTAATAAGACTTCTTCTACTTTTAAAGAACTTTATTAATATTAATCTTATACAAAGCTACGAGCTCTTTTCTCAGAGAGCTAGTTCTGGTTGCAGTTTTTCTTATCTCCAGTATATTCTAAGAGGCTGAATTTGGTGACAAAAGCTGAAGCAAACTAGCTAAGTAAATCAAAAGGTATAACCACAAGATTTCTTAAAAGGTTCCTTTCTGAACGGCTTGAGCAAGTACCCTTACTGGGGATAGCACTGCATCGTAATCTCATTGGCTGCCACTTAATATTATCCAAGCTACTTTAACCATAAAATATACTCTCAGTCTCAAATAGTCTGGATTTAACTGTTCTTGTGAATGTGTAATATACTTAGACTTTTTTGGGTGTTTACACTGTCACTGTGGACAGTTGACCAAGGAGAAGATATTTGGCAACTGTTGTTTCAGGCACATGTACTCATGTCTAAAATGTCTTCTCCATGCTGAAAGTAGTCTGCTTCTCCTAGAATGGGATTTTATTTTTGGTGAAACATTCTTTACCACGGTTGCTTGTCTCAAATAGCTGCCCAACTTTGTCTTTTTGTGCTACCCATAAGAATAGGAACCAGTTCTTTTCCATTTACTTAATCTATGTTAATCCTTTCTTCTTATGAGTTCAGTCCTGTTTCCTGATAAACCCACGCATTCTGGACTACCGGGAGAACTTTCTCATAGCAAAATGCAATTGCCAAACTGACAGCTTGGATTAGTTTGACAGATCTGCCTGTATGCGTCTCCCTGATTGCCACTTCATGAGCCAGATCATCAAGATGATGGTAGTTAACATCTATTGAAGCCTAAGCAGTCTGGAGGTTTGACTGCAAGGTCCTCTCTGTAGTTTGCACCTCTCTGATCATGTGAGATAAATCTTTATAAATACATTTTACTTAGGATAATAGTGCTACATATTATCATAAAATAATTGACACTCTCTCTTCTTTCTAAAGGGTAACTATCTCCCCTCCTTCTAAAGGAAGAGAGAAACTTATACCCATGTAAAAGTGCTTCCTGATACTCATTCTGGAAAAATTTCAGAGTGGTGTGAATATTTTTAATCTGAATATTTTATCTCTGAGCACAAGTATTTAATTAATGTTATACTTAACACTTGCTGTGTCCTGCAGAATATAGATAGAAAATCCTTTCTTCATTGTGTCCTTTTTTCTTCCTCAGAATTTGTATATCCTGTTTTCCTGATTTCAAGTGTAGTCAAACCTGTAGGGTACACCTTTGGCTTTCTTTGCCACACAAATGTAAGGTCTGGTAGGAACAGTGGGTTTTAATAACATGGCTTGTTCACTAGAGAAACTCTACTAGTTTTGAAGGGCTTAGAACTGATATGATGCAGCCGTCATAAAACTCAGCAGATAATAGGTACCTGGATGCTTATTAAGGTACTCTTGGTGCAAATAGCTAGT